GATTAACACACTCTTATCTTTACCTGGCAGTACACGTCTTCATTTCAACCTGGCAATTATGACCTTAGGTTAATAGGAAGACAGATGGGGTGTCAGCATAGCAATCGAATTTTGAGTGCCTTTCCCTGAAGTTGCCCCTTAAGTGTTGAGGCACTAGAGGCATAAAGGCTAAAGAAACCTTACTACCTGCCAAACTCTGCTGCGTTAACCTGTGAGATATTATTTTGGAACTTATTAATATAGAAGATGCAGGGAAATAAATGAAGTTATATCACTCTGCATGCCCCTTAATATGTCCCTTAATATGCCATATTAATATGGTCCTTATAGGGCAGAGGATATCCTGTCACTAGTGAATTTCCCTAGAGAATGCCTTGGATGATGGGACACCTCAGTTCAGAGCCCAGACTTGTGAATGAAGGTCAAAACCCTACTGCTCTCCTTACAATCAAGGCTTGTCCTGCATACCATACTATCCAATATTATTTCAGCAACAAGTTTGTGTTGCATATACTTGTAAGGTCCACAGGTTTATTATTCTAGCTGTCATCTTTTTGGGGGTGGTGTTTTTGTTTGTTTGTTTGTTTGTTTGTTTGTTTTAAAAAGTAAATCTTCTAGTAAATTTTTTATGCTACAGATTCAGGATTCATTCCAGCTTGGCTTTAACACAAAGTTTTTCCACCCACACAGAAAAGCATGCCAAGCCTCCACGGTTTTGCAATATTCTTTTGTAGTATTACTTTTATCAGGCAATCAAGTAAATATTAATATAACTCATTTTTTTAAGGAAAAGCAACTTTTCTTGCCAACTGCACAACTTTCCATGTGATAATTTGAAGTATCAACATGTATCTTCTTTGAAAAATTCAACTTTTATATTCCTAAACATCTGTGGTGTTAAATTGCTCATGGGTATGAACTTAATATCACAAGCATTTTTACTTTTGTTTTTTTTACATAGGTTGTTTGTGTTGATCAGGACTCAAAGTCTGTTCATTTTATTCACTTGAGCATTCCTATTTGACTCAGAGTAGGTAAAACCCAGCAGCTTTATGAGCACAGCTATATGTTCTGTTGCAAATAGTTATGCTGGCATGTAAGTTTTAATGTTATTATAGCTTATTCTAGATCTTGAGAGGGCATAACCTGCAGCAGTTTCAGTACTTCCAAAATGATAATAGCATTATTTAAACTGACGTATTTTACCAGTTTAACAATATAATTAAACCAGAAAAACGTTCAGGTCTAAATCTGATGTCAGAGCACAAGAATCTGGCTCATATGCACTTCAAATGATGGGGTTTAGATGATTATTTTAGAGACGGGTGAAAACATAGATACATAAGATATACTGCCCAGTTTCACAATCTTTTTGCATGATGAATCATTTTTGCTCACTTACATAGGTGAATAAGTATTGTGGCACTTCAAGTGAACACAATCCAAAGTAAAAGTTGCAGAGTAGAACCCATAAAATACACAGTATACCAGATAAGCTTTTCAGTCATGCTGCAAAATAATTATTTCCTGTCATATCACTGCATGGCAATTTTTAGTTCATGATCCAGTAGTTCCTACTCAGTATCCTCTCTAAGATTTTTAATACACTGCAACAGGAATATAGCTACCATGCTTAACCCATGGTTACAGCTGCATAGAAGTGTAGTTCCTTGTCATTAACAAACTAGAAGAAACACGTGTTCCTTATATTAGTTAACAAACACACACACACACACACACACACACACACACACACACACACAGAATCTGTTTCAGGTTAACTGAAAGGAATTTACTGTATAACTTTCAGTTCAACCACTAAACCCCAAAATCCATTATTTGCACAGTCCTATTTCCAGCACACATAAATATGCCACTCGTGTTCATTATTAGTACCACAACCTACCTCTGTCCTTTCTTCCCTGTGAATAGGGCTATTCTTCACACTGCCAGCACTTGTTTAGCACTTCCATTGCATTCATTATGAGATATTGAGTAGAATTCAGCTTCCCTGAATTTGAGCTATATAACACAAGTGTCTGTATCTGAGCTTGTCCAAGTCCCCATCAGAGTTAGGGGAAAGCTCAGATCCAAGCCAGTTTCCTGGATATAGATTCGTTATTGAAGTGTTAGATGCTACTTGCTGTCACCCTCAGGCTGCTCCAGAAGAGCATGGATCTTGGGTCTTACCTTCAGGCTTTATGAAGATGTCTTATATTCTTGATGGCATCTCAAATGACGTTAGAAAGGTTGTGCTTAGGCAAGCTTCAAATTCTCCATTAACTTTAATAGGAGCTTAACACCCAAGTGAGGTGCAGATACCTACACTGCAGACACCATAAATTAGGTTGAGCTGAATCCTGCTCACTGAGATCTGAAGAAAACAGACACTCATCTGTTTTGGGGCTTGTGGAGAGTTCTCTGACTAACCTATCTTGACTAATTTGGGGCTATTCTGCATTCAGACATCCTTCTCATGAGGTGCTTTTTCCTTTGCAGTTATGCCTAAAAGTCTTACACATAGGCTGAAAAAAAAGTAATTTACACACTTTGTGCATCCATTTAAGTCATTGTGATCCATTACTATCTGGCATAATAAAACACCCAACAAAGCAAAAAGTCAAAAGGATTGTCTACACACAAAGTGTGAACTCTGCACCAAGGAAATCAACTAATGCTCAACTGTCCATAAGAACTTTCTTTAAAAGGAAACATACTTTTTTCAGACCACAGTCAGCACCATCTGTAGCGTCATTGCATTCAGCAGTGTGTAGGAGAACACTCACGCTTGAGTGACCAAAATAAATGGTCATTCCAAAAGGCTCTCAGGACTCTAAGAACAAAATATCTTTCTAAGACAGCAGACAAAGTTTTAAACAGCACTGTTCCACTCTTAATGCAGACAAATGGAATAACTGCAAATTGAAATGAGGTGGTTCTGGATCATTTATTGACTTCTCTCAGAGCTCTGCAGTGAGTGTCTCAAACCCTGAGCTATCTAAGCCTACAGCTGCTTTAGCAAATCCAGACCAATGGGAAGAGGTGCTGAGGAATGATGGGTACTCTGCACACATTTCAGGGGTTTGACATCAGACTAGTTCTAGTTTAGTGCTGTTGACTGAAGTTCCATTAGCAATGCAAGGGTGTTACGTAGTCTTCTGGAGTACATTTTCTAGTTAATGTCGTTCAAAAGGAATCTCACTTAAATGCTTTAAGAGGCTCTGTGATGCAAACCAAAGCTTCACTGAGCAGCAGGTTGAGGGAGGTGATTCTGTCCCTCTACTCTGCCCTTGGTGAGACCCCACCTGGAGCACTGTATCCAGTCCTGGAGTCCTCAGCAGAGGAAATACATGGACCTGTTGGAATAGATCCAGAGGAGAGCCAAAAAAATGATTAGCGGTCTGGAGCCCTTCTCCTGTGAGGAAAAGCTGAGAGGGTTGGGGTTGTCCAGTCTGGAGAAAAGATGTCTCTGGGGAGACCTTATTATGGCCTTTTGATACTTAAAAGGAGATTATAAGAAAGATAGGGAAAGACTTTTTAGTAGGGCCTTTTCTTATAAGACAAGGGATAATGGTTTTAAACAAAAGGAGGGTAGATTCAGAAGAGATACAAGACAGAAATATTTTATGATGAGCATGATGAAACACTGGAACAGGTTACCTAGAAAGGTGGTGGATGCTCCAACCCTGGAAACATTCAAGGCCAGGTTGGATGCGGCCCTGAGCAACCTGGTCTAGTGGAAGATGTCCCTGCTTGCTACGAGGGAGTTGAACTAGATGAGTTTTAAATGTCCCTTGCAACTGAAACAATTGCCCTGATTCTGTGATTCTATACTAGCAAGGGGTGGTCAGGAGATTCCCCTCAAAGTAGCACTCACAACCCAAACTAAAACACTAAAAGACAGCTGCCTGAAATATCTCCTTCTCCTATCTTCTGATTGTGGTAGTAGATTCTGTTTGTAGTTCCTGGGATGCCTTTGTACACTGTATATATTTATTAATCTCCAGAGATACTTCTGTTCCCTAACTGCAGTATTCATTGGGATAGAAAAAAATCAGAAGTCTGGGCAGACATGGATATTAGTGTCTTTATATGATATGACTGTGGTTGCCCAAGTCCATTTCCCAAATTACAGATTTACATTGAAGAAATTATTTAGTAACACTCTTCACCCAAAGTTCAGCCCAATCTCCAGAAAATGAATTGTCAGCATTGTAATACATTAACTAAGCTGGGTTTCAGTGAGAGTTTTGCATTGCACTCCTATGACTGTACTAGTCTTTTCTTGTCACAACAAATACCTGCCACCTTTTGCCATTTCTTTGTATAAAGGAGTGTATATGTATTTTACTGATTTCATAGTCACTGTCTTCCTGGCATGCTTCATTCATAGCTTCTTTGCATCTTTACATTTGGTGATGTAGTAAATGGAGGATGAAGGGTTAACCAGTTTCCAAAGGGTGCTGTTAAATGATGGTTGTCCTTCTGAATCATGGATTAGCAAATAATCATTTGTTCTGATGATGTAATATTTGTAACTTACAGTAATGTTACTAAAGGGAGGAGTTCTGTGAAAATTGGTTTGAACTGGTCTCTCTGGTTTATGATCCTTCCTGTTTCCCTGCTAACGCACTGGCTTAATCTTACTCAGTAAACACGTTTGTTTCCTAATTCTCCTTCAGACCTTGATTTGCAAACATCTCGGGGGAATCCTATCCTGCTTTTAAACCCAAACGCATCAAAAAAAAGCACACCCAAAACAGCACTTTTGCACTAAAAAGCAAAAGAAAGCACTGATTTACTTCCAGTCATTGCATTCTAACTTGGCATAAAATTAACTCCCTGGAGATTGCTGATAAATACATTCATCTTCCTAAGTTTTCATTTGGCTAAGAATCTAAAGTATATCAAGGGTTTCTTTTTAAGGCAGTTCCCGAGAGGCAATACTAAATGTTATATATTGTTACAAGAGGTAAAAAAAAAATAAAAAACAATTCATTTATATTAATATATTTTCTACTGGAAGCATATAATGTTTAAAGCACTTACAGACAGCAAGTGACATTATTTTGTAGTTGCTAAAAGTTACTGTTTCATTAGGGCTGTAGACTTTCTCAGCAATATCTTGAATATGTACCGATAAATCCTGAAACGGAATTCTGCATTTTTTCTCGATTTTCTGCTCCTTTCCTACCACAGGGAAGTGAGTAGGAGTAACATCATCTTGTACTCATTCACCCTGTCAGTGACCATTATTGAAAAATCAACAACTGTTATCTGTTGTCATACCATAACATGTAAAGCAGATGGTGACTTTCAAGTATCATATACCAATACAGATGGTATTTCTGCTAATGAAGACTAATAAATATTTAGTTTCTAATGATGCTATCGTGTGCATCCAATTGTGTACAATAAAATATAGCACATGTGAAAGACGTTGCATTCAAGATGAATAGTAATGCTTAGACTGTGGAGTGGACAGGATTGAGGAAACCATTATTCTGCATGATGGATTGTGTTTGTGGATTTGACAGTTGCAGGGTGGGTATTCCTAGCACATGCCAAGCCACTTCCTCTGTGTGCAGCTGGAACAAGCCTCAATTTACAAACCAGCTTGAATATATAGTCCTGGGCACAGTCCACCACTGATAACAGATACCACTTGTATCTGTTATCTGTAATAGCACCACAACGTCTCTGCTTACCATCACAAGAGAGATTTCTTACTAATCAGAGAAAGTGGATTTTTACAAGAAATTCAGTGATATCAGTACCAACTCCATGCCAACAAGAAGCAGCGGAGCTGCTTTTTTACTATCACAGTTTATAAATTATTTTCTCAGCTGAACATTAAAGATTATGTGTGCTATTCAAAAGAAGGGCAAGTTAACTCAAAAAAAAAGTGAAGTAGGCATATATGTAGGATTATGTGAGAATGTTCCCAAACTGTGAAATAACTCAAATAGATTGGCATGCAATGATGCATAGGTCAATCAAGTCACAGCATGCTTCTATTTAGTTTAATAGTAGATGCTCTAACATTTGTAGTTGCACAGTGCATAGTCAAACAGTATCACAAATGGATTTTTTTTGTGTGTGTTCTTCAGCTCATATTCTATTAAAAGCAATGTAAGGTTTTTCTTTTTCTGAATCTTTTTTTTTTTACAGCTGAATAAGTCTCTAGTTACTTTCTTACTATTGTTAGAAAACACTTTGGTAAGCAGCTGTATTTAATATATGTTGACCTTGAATTTTTCTGAAGAGTATTCATCAAATCCTTAAGCACTTAGCTTATTTTTGCATCTTAAAGTCGAATTATTTGGGTAGTATCCAGTGGTTAGTGGCAATGCGGTCCATTGGCCCACTGCCAACAAAGATCACTGAAATCACGGGATCCCTTGCTTTCCAATGCTTCACTCAGTCTTAAAGATGAGAACTGATATATCAATGGCCCTCTTGTTGCTGGAACAGAAAGGTTGGTTAAAGCTGTGAACACAGTCCATGTTAAATATAACTTCAAAATTTGCTTTGGTGCTGAGTCACAACTGAACCAAACATTTTAAAAATTGCCACAGAACAAAAAATTTTACATTTTTATTTTAAAAATTATCTTGGAGAGGAATTCTGATTTCAACCCAAAATTTCTCATTGTTAGTAAAAGTTACAGTTATTTACTTATTTTTATGGCTTCATTGTGGAAGTCCATAATAAACCATATACCATAACATATTGTTTGAAACAGGATTGCAGGATAATGGAAAGATATAGTAAACAGTTGGCTTCTCTAATTTGTATGTTGTATGTTTACGTGCTCCTTTTGTTAAGTACCAAACTGTTTCATCAGGACAAAATCACAAGATACTTTGATCTGAAAAATAAGGTAAGATGTTTCAATGACACATTGCAGCCACAATTCATCCTACCTAACATTAATCACCTATGTAAGGCATGTAAATTAGGGGGTTAGTCACCTCAGACTCCCTCTAATGTCGCAGGAGGATGATGGGCACTTTCTCAGGGTGGCAGGGAGACTTGGTGGCTCCACAAGAGTGGAGGGAGCCAGGGTGGCTGGGCTGTAACACTGGTACCTCAGCGGTGGAGCCAAGAGTAGGTTCAGGCACTACCTCATACCTCCTGGTTTCCGAAACAAGTCAATGAAATAGTGTGATTGTTCCTACTTCGTAATTCACTTAGGAGATGGGTTTTCTTTGGTAGGAAATATAAGTAAAATCTTTCTGATTCTACAAAAATTTCTGCGCCATTAGCAAGCAAATTACATTTGGTCCAGATAATCCCACCAGCTTCAGCTGTGAGCAGTGCAAAAGTGCTATATTACCAATTCATAGAGGGAAAGGTGTACTTTCATTCTTCAGTAAACTACATTTATGACTTCAGAAATGGGCTTTAACAGGATCTGGAAAGAAGCCAAATCAATTTGCCCTTTAGCCTACAGGCAGATCAAGCAGGAGTGATGATTTTGAGGGCCAAAATGGGAAGATTAGGAGGACACCTGAACTGCAAGATGAATTCAGCAAGAAGCACATAAATCCCCTAGCTGGTTTTCTTTTTTTTTTTTCTCTGCATTAAACCGTTTTTTGTTTTGCTACAAAAATGTGAACTCAGAATACATTATTGCAAGCGTATGGCAGCACCATTATGGGATAAGGCAGACACATATATGTGTCATCTTGAGCAAAACTAAAGGGCAATGGAATGAGGCTGGTATAGTGTAAGGTGTCAAAGGTAAAGAAGCCTCTATGACTAAAAGCTTTCTAGATTCCTAGAACCAGAGATCATGGAAAAACCTGTAGGAACAGAACTCTGGGGGTCATCTACAGCAAGCCCCAGCTCAAAATGGAACTATTGCAAATACTGGAGCATCTCAGCTGGGCCTTTTTCAGCTGAGACAGCGTAGAAGTCCTCCAGGGATGGAGATCCCACAACTGCTCTAGTTTTTGTACTAGAGCAAGTCACACAAAGACATAGAAGATTACCACATGGTCACTACCTTCAAATAGATCTGCCTTTTCAAAATCAAAGGTTGATGCTGGATGGAGAAAGAGGTTATTGTACTTTGTATGTATCACTGCTCCCCTGCAAAAATTTTGAGGACACTAGAGGTAGAAGCAGTAAGGTGGGGAAGATGAGAGACTGCCTCCATTTCCTTAGTTCCACTCTGTCTAATCTCAGAGCCTCTTTTCCTCCAAACCTTTCAGATCTAAGTAATTGTATTTCCTCAGAGGACTCCACCAACTCCCAATTAATCTGATGTTCTTTTCCTGAGGGGAAATTTCCTCCCCTGGTGCAATTCCCAGATTTTACACTTTGCTCTTCTAAGTGTCGACTATGTCCTGACTTCTCTCAACCCTTCCTCTGCTCTTCTGCAGAAAAATCCCTCCCCCTTGAATTTCCCACATACTCTCTTTCATCCTTTCAGACTAACCCCCAAACTCAAAGTTTCAGTTTTTCCTGTCCATCTAATTTGACCTGTCACTCATTGTCCCTCACTTGGACTCTCTTGCTTCAAGCTTTCCCGCTCCTGCCAACCCTTCCTTTCCCCATATGGAAATGACTCTCCTGTGCCACTGCCATCTTGTGCTGTCACCATCACTTTAGAGATCAAGCTCCCACTGGATATAAAAACCCAGGGCATTCTCTGCCTAACCCTTCCTGCTTTCTGGATTTCCCTAGTGTTTCCTCTGCTTTGGCAGGGATTTAAAGACCTCACATTCTTCACTAAGAATACACTTTGGTGTTTGCTTAGTGTTTACATCCAAGAAAAAGAGAAAAGACAGAATCCATAGATACAGTAGAATATAACCTTCTTGCCATTGTGAATATTTGAAGTCATTGTCAACAAAACTGATCACCTATAATGGAGGTTAAATGAGAAATATGTGGGTTCAGAAAGAAAGTGCACCTAGAAAACAGTAAAATTATATAACTAAATGAGAAAATTGCTGGGTTGTTGGTTAAGGTGCAAAGAAACTCAGACTGGCATCACTTAGTCTTACAAAGAATAACAAAAACCAAGTACAGTTGTAGCCTGTGCATCTCGGCATTGGATGGAAACCAGAACCAATTAATGGAGCTTTAAAAACACAAATAGGTGAGGTGCCCAAGACAGGATTCAAATCTACATTAACATCGTATTTCTCATGCAGGATCTTTCAGCTACTTTACAACGAATACAAAGGCAAAGATATATCTTACTTGGTGTTCAGAGACCAGCATCTGGAAGAAGGTGTCTACATATCCTCTTTCTGAAAGCATACTTCTAAAATGGGTTGGTGATGGAAATGTTTCTGTCTATTTAGTACAAGTAAGGTTATAGAGGACAAAGTGGGAGACCAGAATTTAATCTCCTCCAGTCTTTCGAGTGCCAGATGTCCCACTTGTTTAAGTTGAATTGAAAGGGTGTTGACCATGAAGTGTATAAGCAGCCAAACTACTGCTCAAAACTACTTTGTGCAGGCTACAGAATAATGTGTCTATTTGGAGGTGCCTGTCTAGAGACTTTCGAAGTTTTTTGCTACACATTAATACAACTTGAAGAGAAAGAGTAGACAGTGTGCATGAAAACCCATCTCTTCCCCTCTAAAGAAAGTCAAATCTGATGAGAGGACATTTTCCTTGGAAAAATGTTAGTTTCAACCCCTTCAGTCAGAACAAAGTGTTGAATCTGAGCCTAACTTCCTTAGCAAATGACTTAACCACAGAATTTTGTATGAAAGGTGGGTGGCAGATCCTCCTCCACTGTCTGTTCTAAAAATCACCCACAAAGCTTTTTCCAAGGAGCTTTCTGGGTGTGTGTTGGGTGTTTTTTTGAGAATGTCTGCAGGTTTGAGCCCCCCAGGAGACTTCAGCAGAGGAATTCCTTGCTTCATTGGTGGGAGATAGTAATCAGACTGCTTAAACTGTTCTGGGCACATGCCAAAGCAGTGCTCTGGACACCCAGAAGAGCTGAAGCTCAGACAGGCAGGTGCCTTCAGCTAGACTCAAATAAAACACCTAAGCACTTATGGTGCAAA